CCAAGTTCTAGCATCTTGGACACAGGCCTTAAGAAGCGACGGAGAACCAGTTGACCTTCGATTAACCGATGTTTGTGAAACTGGCCCTTGGTGTGCACTGGTGCAAGCAATCGTATTCGCCAATCACGTCTAACCTCCAAACCAAGGAAAGTTCGTTTTGTTTTTTTTTCCCCCCCCACCAAACCAGGAGAACTCGTCGTCAGGACGCGGCCGCGAGGATTACCTTTGTGTCGACGTCGGCGATGCATTCCTTCCGGAACTGATCGAAGATACCTTGGGACTTGACTTCGCCCACTATATGATCGATCAACCGCGGATCACCGGCCATCAACGTGCTGGACAGGCCTAAATCCATGACGCCTAGGAACGCCAATTTACCGAAGCCCGGACCTCGCTCGTCACGAAACAATGGAGACGGTCATCCTGCCCGTCCGACCCCGGTAAGACTCTGTCCCTTCCTCGTCAGGCAACACGCACCGCGGCCGTCGCGGCCATATTTCCTTCGCGCTTCGTGCGCACTCGGTGCGCACTTGCGGCTGGCACGCTCGGGGGGAGATTTCATAGTTCCCCGCGCGAATATATACGTGTACCAGCGGGTTGGGACACGCTCTTGAATATTCAGATCCTGTGAAAATGAAGTACACGTATTGTACGCCCACTCCTGTGCATCAAACGAAATCGAATTGACGGCGATATCCTGGAAATCGCAAAATGCGCAGAATGCGACGTAGACGTCGAAGCGGCGACGTTAAAAATAACAGAGACGCCTGTGCGGGGGAGGTCCAGGTTCGGACCTTGGCCGAGGTAAATTTTTCACGGTACAAAAAGCAAAATCGTCTGGACACTAACATCTCGCCCCGGCCCTTATTCATTCGTTACTTTATACTTGTGCTGTCACGGCAGAGCCTCGTGAATTTTATTGATTGTCTAAAAGCAGGCAGCTAGTCGCCTGATACTTGATAAATTCCGGAGACCGAATCGCTGCGGCCTTCGAACTGCGAGACACGGAGCCCCAGGAATTTTTAGAATCGCGATTTTCCCCGACTCCATAATCTAAGATAATGTAGCGACGGTCGGCAAAGTCGACGATGACTTTACCGACCGCGCTGGTTCGGTGACTTTACCGACGCTAAATCTTTTTTTTAGCGCGCAGATGACGGGGAAAAAAACGAGTGTGGCATTGAGTGGCATCGTTGGCATCCATGCGAGTGTCACGACTGTCACGCGAGTTTGAAAGTTTATAAGTCGTGAACGAAGCTTTCCTGCGGATGAACGATCCGAGCTCAGCACAGCTTTATTGGTGAGAGATCGTAGCGTGTGTACACTTTTAAATTCTTTCCTCGTTAGATTTAATCGACACTACAACTCGCGGGGAGGGGGGGGGGGCAAAAAAAGGGGCGAGTTTGCGCTCGAAATCAGCTTCGGTTCACGTGCCATGGTTTCCGCCGGGACCGCGCGCGCGTCCCCACGGGTCGGCGGCGTTCGTGTGTTGACTTGACTTACGCGCGAGATGTTTCACGCGATCTGCGTTCGGCCAACAGCCTGATGGTGTAATACGCGCAGAATTGTCCAGTGTGCATTCGCCGCAGCTAAATCACGAGTGAGCGAGGAAATCTGCGCGAGCATTTCGGAGAGGTGAGTTACTGGTACCGCACTTGGTCGCGTTTCGCACGCTTTACGCGAGAGGTTATGTCGATCACGCGTTCGCGCAGCCTCGGGCCGGGACGCTCTCTCCCGCATGTGTATTCGCGATCTTCTTTCGTGCGTGCGAAGTAATACACCCGAGGAAATGCTTGGGCCCGGTCTACAATGAGTTGTTAGTCGTTAGAAGCCGGAACTATATGTCGGTCCTTTTTCTTCCACCCAGAAAGGAAAAAGATCAACGTATAGTTGCGTCTTCTAACGACTAACGACTCATTGTAGACCGGGCCTTAAGCCCGTATCAGACTACGGATTGGGATTGGGATTAGATTGAAATTTGACCAATCAGAGTAAAAGTTACTGAACTTGAGATTAGTAAACTTTAAGCCCGTATCAGACTACGGATTGAGATTGAGATTGGATTGAAATTTGACCAACTGGAGTAAAAGTTACTGAACTTGAGATTAGTAAACTTTACTGTGATTGGTTAAATTTCAATCTAATCCCAATCCCAATCCGTAGTCTGATACGGGCTTTAGGCCCGGTCTACAATGAGTTGTTAGTCAGAAGTCGGAACTATATGTCGGTCCTTTTTCTTCCACCCAGAGAGGAAAAGGATCAACATATACTTGCGACTTCTGACTAACGACTAACGACTCATTGTAGACCGGGCCTTACGGACAGTTCGGTCGGGGAGATTTGTTGTATTACGAGAGAAATGAAAGAAACGGTGGTCTTTGGTGGTAAAATAAAATGACTTGCCTCGTTGAAAAAAAAAAACAAAGTATGGCTTCTAGAGGGACGCACTCGCCCACGATTTATACCGAGACCTGCAAACGTTAGCCTCGGCCAGAAAATATGGTACGGATTGTATTTTGATAAGTTAATTTTGCATATTTTATAATCGATTGTGATTTTACTATAATTTTAAGTTTATATTCGATATAATTATTTTACGAAATATATTGCGCTTTCTGTCGACGGAACTGCCTCACGTATGCATTTCACGTTTGATATGCATCGAATCGTCTGTGCGACACGCAGCGGCGTTCTTCAGCGTTTAGAGAAAATCGAGGGGGAAGCCGCCGAGGGCATTGTGGTGATTTGTTTTTCTAATTTTTGGGGCTTGACTCGGCAGAAATTTATATTTCTAATATTTAGTTTAACACGAATCTTAATACATGGACGGGGAAAACCGCTGAGGCCATTGTAACATTTGCGGCATTACTGGGCATTATTTGGGGCATTAGGCCTTGCCGGGGCATCACAAGGATATAGTAAGATAATGCCCACTGGGGATTACTCTATCTCATTTCTTAGTTTATCTTGTTTTATCTTATCTTTATAATGCCCCAGGCAAGGCCTAGTGTCCAAACTAATGCTCAAAAAAAAATGCCCAGTAATGCCGTAAATCTGTACACCACAATGCCCTCGGCGGTTTTCCCCGTCCATGTATTAAGATTCGTGGTTTTTGTTCGAACTAAATATTAGAAATATAAATTTCTGCCGCGTCAAGCCCCAAAAGTTAGAAATACAAATCAATACCGAGTTAAATCGGGAAGTATGAATATTTGAAAAAATATCTATACTTTTCTGTTCGTCCTTCCTCGCTGCTCTATCACTCACTCCAGTTAGTCAAGTTTTTGGAGGGGGGTATGTTACTCTAAATAATTGCCAATAATTATTCCTAGTCATTTCTGTCATGTGACACGTTATTGCTGTTACATCAATATGCATTCGTGGGTCGCGAGAAATTGAATTGCGCGCCGATGAACACGCAAAATGAGGGAAAAACTTTCGAGCGACGCGTAATAGGCGCGTCGTAGGCGTGTTTGTTTTGTCGGTATTTCGCAAAAAGAAAAAAGAAAAATGAACGATCCTAATCAACGTTACGCGATATCGGTGTAAAATCTACGTTTCGTACGCGGCGGAGTTAATAAACCTCGCATAAATCACGGATCGGATACGGCCGGTACCTTCCCGGCCGGTCCGCGATTTTAATGCACACTCGCAAATTGCCGTACAATGAGGACCATTATAAATGGCCTGATGGCTGTCAATGGGACTAATTCACGGCTCGCGCGGCACGGAGCCAGGCCGTATACCGGATCTCGTCCAGCATTTTCTAAACAGGGCCAGGAGCTGGACAGCTGTCCTCGTACGTCCACACAATCGACGAAACAAAAATAGACCCGCGTACACGCGCCACTTGCTAAATTAATTTAATAGAGCGGCACTCGATCGATATTTTCGCCTAACGATTTCCCTGTTAAAGAAACAAAATTGTGCGGACATTCCTGCGAATAGATACACTCTTGCCTCCGTTATTCCGCTCTTGAAGGGAATATATTTTCGGATACCGCCTCGGTATTTCTACATAAGAATTATACGCAAAAAAATCACGCCAAGTGATACGAGATGCGTCCTTTCTTTTATGTACATTAGGAATCACTGACGTCTTTCCATATGAATTTGGGCACAGGTAGAACACACACATTTTCCATGTATGCACGATGTATAAATGTGTTAATATGTGTCCAAATTCATATGGGAAGACGTCAGTGATTTCTAGGCCGGTATTCATAGTCAAATCGTATATTCAAGACCGTCTCATCTTTAGATACTCCGTAGCCAATAAAATGTTCCATACAGCATCTCTAGATAAATTCAAGACGGTCTTGAATATAAGATCTGACTATGAATACCGGCCTTGGTGTACGTTGAATGGTGATCTATAGCAATTGAACAGCTGGATGCGAAAACCAGGTGGTTTAATTTTAATAAATTTTAATAAATTTTACAGGAACTGAAGAAATTATTTGAATAAAAATCTCGTACAGCTTTTTTTCTCTCGTGTGATATAATGCCTGTCGGTGTAGCTTCAGATAACACGCAAGCATAAAATATACATTTTTTTTTCTATTGGTTCTTTTATAGCAATAAAATCATAATTAATTTTCGACAAGAAATGGAGCCACCTGGTGCTCGCATCCAATCCTTCGATTTCTCTTTTATCTCCCTTTATTTTCAACATAATTCGGTAGAGACTCGGGCGTCCCTAGCACAATGGGACGTCATCACAACGCTTCCGTACCTACGCATTCTCGCGCATTGTCTGCGCGTTAGTTGCGACAAGCACGTGTGGTCGTTTAACATCATCGGTAATTAAAAACGCGCTTCTACCGCAAGCGCTTGTGCAATCCGATTGGTCGTATCCGAGTAACGCGACTAAACACGTGAAACGCGACCGTTTTCGATTCATCATCGTCCACAGTGAACTCCTCGGGAGCCTCGCGAGCGCGTTCGCGATGCGAAACGGCGCTGGACGAGCTCTCGATTCCATCGTACCGAAACCCCGGGGAATCGCGTGGAAAGTCACTGCACAAATCACGAGTGCACCGTCGACCTTCTTCTCGGTCGTCGGTTCATGCCATCCCGCGGACGCGGTCGGACGCAGTCGCGGTCCATTCGTCCCGGCACTCGCGTCGAGCGTGAACCGTCGTGTCGTCGGATGACCTTAACACCCTGAGGCCCGGTTTTTCATTCACTGGTTAAATGTTAACCAGAGGTCAGTCGATTGCCTGTCTCTTCCTAGGCCCGGTTTTTCATGTTCTGGTTAAGTGTTAACCAGAAGTTAGTCGGCTCTCCATCTTTTTCTATGTTTTTATCTGAGAAGAGACGGAGAGTCGACTAACCTCTGGTTAACAATTAGCCAGAAAATGAAAAACCGGGCTTCAGATAATAATATAGAAAAAGATGAAGAGTCGACTGACCTCTGGTTAACCGTAAACCAGAAAGTGAGAAACCGGACCTTCAACAGCACTAATTGTCTTTGAAAAAAAAAAAGAACTGATCGGACAAGTGACGTCCCCGACTGATCGCACGCTCGCGTAACCCGTTTGAGCGCAATTCGGATCGTTCGAGGATTTTCCTTCAGGCTTCGCAAGGTTAAGGATCGGTCTTGGTTGAGCCAAAGAATCTCACATCTCGTTTTCAAAGTTTATTGAAGTTTGAAAAGAAGACATTATGCACGACGTCACGGTCTCGTAAATTTTTCGTAGAAACCTGTCGCCTCTCTTTCCTTCATTACCCGTGAAAATTTCTCGACTCTCCGATCGAAACGCAATCTGAACGTCTTCGGTGCACAATTGCTATTCTACTCGCCTCGTCGATCTCGTTGACGATCGTCAGGGTTCGTCGACGAACTCCCGCTGATGCGCTTTTCACTCTGCATTTCCACGAATCGCCCGGATGCGTGACGCTAATTCGATCGTAATTTTCATTTCATTTTTTTTTTTTAATTAAACACACGAAAGCCGCGGATTTTCCTAGGGACCGCCTCGCGGACCCGACGAACAGAGAAAGTCTCACGGGTCGAGGAACACGTTTATCTTCTGCAATTATCTCGAATGAAAAGATGAAACGCTGCGGCGAAATATGTGCGAACGTACGAAATAGGAAGTTGCAAACACGAATATACAAAGAGAAAAGAGAAAAAAAAGAGAGTCAAATTGAATTTTAATTTTATAGATCTTTTAACAATCCGGAGTAGATTAAGGTTGTATTAGATACGACGTCTAAGCAAGCGAAATTGAGCGATCAATTTTAATAAAGTACTAAACAGGAAAAGCATTATCCTGCAAGTTGGATTATTCACGATAAACTTAAATTACAGGAATTCGTTAAGCGATTAGGGGAACCAAAGGACTTAAATAATGATCATAATTATGAAATGTCACTTGCGTCAAGGTTTCTAGTCGAGGAAAGTTTCCTATTATGAGATAAGCTTCTAATATTGGATGGCAGGATTTTTGCTAAATTAATAGGCATCATCTATTGGTTTCATCGTTAATTTGTTGCTCTTGGAGTGAGACCTGCGTAGTGGAGAATTCATTGTTAGATCGTGTAATCGTGAATGAAAATTTGTGATTGAATTTTGA